TTTCTTGATCTGGCTCCGTCTTACTTCTGCCAATACATCAATGCAGATGAAAATATAAGAGATTTGTCTGAAATTTTAGATAAAGTGATTTATTTGATGGTTATCCATTCCATAATATTGATTTGAAAAATAAAAAATAAGATTTTCAATAAAGCATACAATGAAATATTGAAAAAAGTTGCGATTTCCTTTAATAATTATTCTAATAATTAGTAATCAAAAAATAAGATTACAATTATATTAATCCAAAAAAGCAATCAAATTTTTTCAAATATACTTTATTAGTAATTCCTAATTCCTAAACAATTTCAAATGCGATGCGATACACTGCAAAAAATAGTTCTGAAATTTGTTAAATAAGCGGAAAAAACTTTACATTATATTATATAATATTATTCTCTTATAACAAAAAACAGCAAAAGGAATAAATATTAATGGTAATATTTTGGTCTTATAAATACTTAATATTATAATGTTTTATTTTCAAGAAAACATTATTAAAATTAAAAAATGAATAAAAATAATAAACGATAACTATGAAATAGCAAGCATTATGTACGGCTGACTAAATTCGAAGTAGCAATTTTTGACTGTCAAAAAAAGTTGCATCAGTCTATTTGTATAATTTGTGTTTTAAAATGCATTAATTTTTTTTAGCTATTTAAAACGATAAACGACTTTTAACATGAAAGGTCGCCTGTGAAGCTCATAATAAATAAGTCTTTTTTTCAAGTATTCATTTTGTTTGCTTAAATTACAAACGTTTTGGCTATATTCTGAAGAATTGGGAGAATTCCTTGAAAGCTTTTTCAGCAATTTTTCTTTTTCAAATCAAAGTTGCTTAAGAAGAACAAAAAACGAACAATACTCAATTAAGAATCGTAATTATTTATCGTTTTTGTATAAGATACTTGAAAATAACGTAAGTTTTAATTTAAAAATTTGATTGAATAATAAATTTTGAAACTAAATGACACTCACTCCGAAATACTCGTAAATTTGTTTGTGTTAAAATATTTAAATTTTTCGCAAAAATATTTATAAATAAAACATTACTTTTCACATGAAGTGTTTGCTATTATCGCTATGCAATAGAAGGAAAGAAAATTTGAAAGGTAAAATAAATTAACATTTTTTATTACAGTATACAGTTATGTTGTAATAATTTTCTAAGTAATAAATTTATAAAAAATGTTTCATTTTTTATGATAAATATTTATTTGACAATAGCTCACTGGTGAAATGAGTATAAGTAGAAAAAGTCTCAAAAATTTAGAGTGTTAGTGTACAACAAGTAAAAAAATGAAATGACACCCCAATCCATCGCTGATAAAATACTTACTTATGTTATAAGAGATAACATTTTGCTTACTTAGTTCAGTCTTCATGCATAGTTTTAAGTTATGGATTTTGCATCAGACATTAGTAGCTATTTTTGAAAGATAAATGCTAAACATTTAAAATGATCAATTTTTTAATGCAAAATTTTCGTTAGTCTTTTAGTGATTTTTAGACTAAATTTCAAGCAAGAAAAAGTCTTAATATAGTTTTAGTCTAATTTATTATTTTGCGAAAATTAAAATAATTTCAAGTAAAAATTATAATTTTGATAAAATGTAGTCATATACTGGTGATGTAAAGAGTATACATTGAGACTAATTAAGCAACATCTGTTACAGTTTTTATCGAAAACAAAGTCCAAAATTTGTCATTTGAGTTTTGAATTTTCATCGCAATATTGAATTTTTTAAATTCAGTTTCAAGTTGACCTTTTAAATGATAACTTTACTGGAAATAAATTAAATACATTACTAACGTAATTATTAATTTCAAGTATTTCTTTATAAGACATTATCTGCATATTTTATTTTGTCTAAAAAAGATTAAACGATCATATGATTTGAAGCTGATCTTCATGTTATATGCAAGCAATGTTTTAGGATTGATAATAAGTTAGCAACTAACATTCGTTACCGCAAATGAATTTGGATTTTCAAGTAGTGAGTATTGGTCGACAATACAAGTAGCACTACCAATATCAGTTGTATTTTTTGACTTTGTTGACCTTTGATCTCTCGATAAATTGTTAGTAGGTGTTGTTTTAAGTTCAAATAATTCGTCTTGAAAAAAAACACGTCGATCGTTACTTGTACCACTGGATGGCAAAAATGGTACCACACCTGGACATTTATCTACACCACTGACACCAATTACATCTTCTGATTCACTAAGATTATCAATGACATCTACGTTTGTCTCCGCCTGTTGTGGCAGCCACTGATTTGAAGACTGCTGATATTCTGGTGATTCTGACTCAGAATATCTGACTGATCTAACTGGTATTGAAATTGAGGTATTCGTAGTAGCATTCGTCGTTGGATGTTTTAAAAACTGTAAAAATTAATAACTTTAAAACATTTTTATATTTATTAAAACGATTCACATCATTTGCATCATAATAAAATATATTACAATGTAACAAAAATAATAAGCAAAAAAAAATACGAGAAGGAAAAGACAAATACTTCATAAATATGAGGATAAGATTATTCAAATTACTTCGTCTAATTATTTGCATATTATCAAAATGAAAGAAATCGCTGTAACAGACGTGAGAGAAGTTTCCGAGATTGCTCTCTCGGGAACTTTTCTCACGTCATTAGCTTACTGAAAAACGAGAAATTTTTGAAAACTATCAAAAAACTTTTTATTCACTTCGGTCTATTTTCATTTTATTGTTCGTTCGTCTATGAATTTATTCTTAATAATTATCAAAATTTTTATAAAATAAAAGCATTAAAAACTTGCAAATAAAATTTTGCTGTTAGAATTTCAGTACTTAATACTTGGCAAATAATGAATAAAAATAATTGGCCTAAGACATTTATATATATACCTTTGCAGTATTTATACTTTCATTTCTTGCATGCATTATTGCTATTAAGAGAAAATATCAAAACGAACCCACTGTGATTTGTTTATACTAAATGAATATAAGAATTTCATATTAATAATTTCTTTGATATGTATGCTAGTAAAACATTACATATATGTCACAGAAATATGAATTGAAAGCTGAGAAAAGTGAAACTACCTGCGAAAAGAATCTGAAGCAGAAAAGTAAGAACTGATGATAAAGTGATGACAAAAATAAGGCAAGAAGTATCTATGTCAGGCACGAAATGAGAAAGTTTGTTTGGATCTTTCATATAAGACTAAGGAGAATAACATCAACGAGTACTTACTTACTTACTTACTTACTTAGTACTTACTTAGTTAGTTAATTATTTACTTATTTACTTACTTGCTTACTTAACTTTTTATTCAGACAAAAGTTATTTCTAGCAATAAGCTCATGCATGAACTTACATACACTGTAAAACATATCAATTAAGACGCTACTATTCAGTGAGAATAAATACAGTTTATTTCTGCTTAAAACAGATATAAATTTATCTATAATTTAACGAAAAATTTTTCATAACATAAATTTACAAATGAAAATGACTTGTGTCATCATGCAGCAAAGAACTACTTGAAATCAAGACTGATCTAAGATCACCATATCTAGTCCAATTTATACATTTGATCTGTATGCTTTGTTACAATTCTTTGAAATAACTTAAGTTTCACCAGTAACAGTGAATGCAATATTTACAATAAAAATTGCCTTCTTTATCAATTCACAATTATTAAATAGACTTGAACTGATTTATACTTTCAAATTAGCAAAGTATTTCATGTCAGTAATATCTGAGAACTGCTGAACGAAATAATATATAAACTTATTAACTTGTCTATCAATATTAAGTATTATAAATAGAGATGTTATTACTGGAAGTTTTACAAATTTTATCATATCTTTGAAAGATTAACAATATATTTTATTTTTGAATCATTGAAATCTACCATTTTTGAAATAATTCATCTACGTATGTTTCGAATTTTTTTCATGTTTTTGATAACTGCTTTTCATAGATTGTGTGATGAATTAATTTCCGCAAATAATAAGAAAGGAAATACTTTGTATGAATTTAAATGTGAAAGAAATATCCATGGAAACCGTTCCAAGTAAAATATCTCATGTCAGTAATATCTGAAAAACGCTAATCTAAATAATCATTTTTTTTATTATTTCACTTTTGCTAATAAATAAATTTTGTCATACTCTCAATTTAAATATTGTTCAGAGTTGAAACGTTAATTTTTTTGTACATGAAATTAACCTTTCAACTTTAATACTAATAGAAAATAAAATTTTTAATTTTGAAACACTTTCGCATCTTATCCATTCAATTATGTGACGATAAGTAAACAGCTGAACGTCAATAGTTTGCAAAGCTTATGTTGAATTACTTTTCTTGAAAAAGAAATCATAAATAAATAATATGCTTGTTTAGCTGACTGATAAAAGCTCTCATGAAAAACAAGCTAAATTAATACTGATTTTTTTTTGCTGAGTTTTTTCAACAATTTTATAAAAATAAACACAAATAAATATCAATAAAATTTTGTTATTCGAACATTTCCCTCAAACAAAATATACACACGATGCATAAGTGATAAAAAATTTTTTTAACTTTTTAAAAAATAACTAAAAATGTTTGTTCATATTTTATTAATTAATATTAAAAGATAATATGCAATCATCGACTGCAAATATTTATATTTTTTATTTAAATATAACATATATACTTGTTCTTGTGAGCATAAATTTTACACTTTTATCATTAAAAATGATTGAAAATTGAAAATAAGCAAAGATGTTCAACAGCTTTTTTTATTTCTATCAAAACTATTCATTTCATTTCTGAGTAGTTAAAAAAAAACCTGGATTGGTATCTTCAATTTTTTCCTGAACCATATGGTCATCATAATAAAAAAACACTCCATATACTTTATAGCTAATTAATTAGTGAGCATTAAACTGTTTTCAAAAAAATTAATAACAGATAAATTTTTGAGCACACATATACTTTCATTATTTTAACTATTTTTTGAAAGCAATAATTATGAAAATAATCAAAAAAAAATGAATTATTTCAATTAAACAAAAAAAATGAGTAAGTAATTAATTCAAAACCGATAAAATGAAAAAATACCAAACATTATAACAATTATCTTCGATTATTATGTCAAGATAAATCAACAAAAACATTTACTTAGCTTAAAACACCCCCCCCCCACACACACACACACACACACACACACACACATAAATATGTAGTTAATAATATTGGCTATTACCAATGAAAGTAGTAACTATCTGTGAAGAGCGCTTGACCAGAAATCATAAAATTAAATATCAAGAGATGAGACATGCAAAATGTCTATTTTACATAATTTTATTAAAGTTACAAAGATGTCAGATAAAGCTTTGATATGAGTGTTGTTAAGTAGGAGTAATTTTTACCAGTGCTGAATTGCTCAAAACTAAATAAGCGCATTTTTTATAAAATTATTTTTATTTGCAATAAAATGAAATAAATAATTCATTGTGTACATTGGTTTAATTTTGTGAACTAATTCTGTTCAATATTTGATTTCGGTTTAATTGCAAGGTAGATTTTCCATAAATTAATCAAAAGATTGATATTTCATTCACAAGTGATTTTGTTGCTCTATATGCTTATTTAATATTTAAGTTCAGTTTCGTTTTTATTTTTAAGTGAATATTACTCTCGAATATCAGTAAAAGATATTTCAGTGAAGCATTCATACAAAATAATATAACAGCTTCTCCAAAAAAACAAACAAATAATTTATTTGCCCATGAATAATGCATCTCTTTCCTTCACACTTTTTCAATCCTTTAGCAACATCAGACAAAAAATACAGTGGTAATTACACCAGCACTATTATTTTAAGATGAAAATTAATTAAATAATCTATCGATAAATTGAAACTAAATTATTTATTTGTTCAGTGTTTCCTTGCTTACATTCTATTATTGTCAGTGTTTTTTCACAAGCTACATTCAAATAAAACATTATTTCCAATTTAGACAATATTTTCTGAAAGTTACGCTGAAACTTCAAATATCAATTAGTGTGAAATAAAACTTTTTTAATCAATTAATACTATTGTATTGATTTTGTAAGAATAAAATATAACTGATAGTAATTAGCTTTAGTAATTAATGAATCTCGATAACCTATGAGTGAACTTCACTTCTTCAACTTCGCACATGTCAGTACTTTGAATAAAATTAGTTCTTCTTGATTCACGAGTTGATTTCTGTCACTGTTAAATACTGAAACAGTATTATAAACTATCAATAAATATCGTTTTTTGATTTATTGAAATAATAAAGAGTGAGTTTAAGTCAAAATGAAGACTGCTATTTTGAAGTTATGACAAGCAAATTTCACATTTGCTACTATCATTTCAAATTGTTAAATTGTTCATTTGAAAAAGCTTTTTCAAAAATGAATAATAGTTGAATATTTTTGATTTATTATAAGTAAATAGCATGGAGCAATTTTATTGATGAACATACATCCTCTACTTAATAAACTCAATCTCAATTTCACTAATGGCAGGTCACGTGAAAGATGAAATAATTAAAAGCCAAATAATTTACAACTTAAGTAGAGTTTTCTAGCAATTTCAAGTTTAGTAACTGGCAAAAAAGAATTCAAAAGTAAGTGCGCGCAAAAATAAGCTTTTTATGCAAATTAAAATTTTCGGCAAGTTATATGTCTAAATAATACATAAACGTTGATATATATATTTGGAGAATAAATGTTTTTAAATATATATATAAATTCTGTTTTGCCAGTTACTAAACTAAAAAATTATATATATATATATATATATATATATATA